GCTGACACAAGACCATCCCCGAAGCAGACCGGGCACACTCAATACCCAAGAAATACTTGACCGGGCCGAGATCCTTGAGCTGAAAACAACGGTCCAAATAGCGTTTAAAGGACGCACATAAAGAGGAGTTATTGCCTGCAACCAAGATATCATCAACATAAACTAAGACCGTAAGAATATCAGGGCCCCGACGAAGAATAAACAAAGTATGATCCTTATGAGCCTGTTTAAACCCCCACTGACGAAGTGCAGTGCTGAGTTTATGGAACCAATTACGTGGAGACTGACGGAGTCCATATAATGATTTGCGAAGGCGGCAAACTTTTCCAGGAATAGAAAAACCAGGGGGCATGCGCATATACACTTCCTCAATAAGATCTCCATTTAAAAATGCATTATTAACATCTAACTGATGAATCTCCCAACCTCGTGCAACAGCAACAGATAATAAAATACGCACCGTACCCATTTTTGCCACAGGAGCAAAAGTGTCTGTATAATCCGTACCAAACTCCTGATGGTTTCCCAAAACAACCAGGCGAGCTTTATCACGCTCTTTCGTCCCATCCGAGTGAAACTTGGTACGGTAGACCCACTGACATCCTAGCGCTGTCCGATCGGAGGGAAGGTCAGTGACCTCCCACGTGTGATTATTCTCCAAAGCAGTGATTTCCTGTTGCATAGCTTGTCTCCAATTTGCATGTTGCATAGCCTGTTTGAAAGAAGTTGTGACCCCACACGAAGTCACCGCAGCCAAAAATCCCCGGTACCTGTCATGTAATTTCTCATAATGAACAAAATTGTGGATAGGATATCGCGTACCTGAAGACTTAGACGGAACAATGCTAGGAACAATGGAAGTAGATGTCTGGGCGGTATGACAATAGTAATCGGCTAACCTAGCAGGAGGACGCCGATCACGGGTAGGACGGACGGGCGACGGCGGACTGTCCGGGGCAGACTCGCCGTCGCTATCGGAATGGAGAGGAGACTGCCCGGAGGGAGGCGACGACGCAGGAGATGGTGACGGGACAATGGGTTGCTCGGTAGTGGGTTGGGTGGTGGGAAAGTCTGCATGGGTAGTGGGTTCGGTGGTGGATGACACGGGGGTAGGCACGGTTAAAGCGAACGGAAAAACCGTTTCGTCGAACGAAACGTCTCGGGTATAGAAAAACCTGTGGGATTCAAGATCATAGACCCGCCAACCCTTAGTCCCCGTAGGATATCCCACAAACATACATTTAATACTACGGGGTTGGAATTTATTTTGCGGTCGAGGATTGAGACGGACATAACATAAACACCCAAATACCCTTAGTAGAGACAAGTCTGGAGGTTTTGAAGAAAGGAGTTCAAATGGTGATTTTCCCTGAAGAAGAGGGGTGGGGGTACGATTAATAAGATACACAGCAGTACGCACACATTCACCCCAAAATTCAATGGGTAAAGAAGCTTGAAACATTAGAGAGCGTGCGACGTTAAGAATATGTCTGTGTTTGCGTTCCACACGCCCATTTTGTTGTGGGGTGTTAACGCATGAGGTTTGAACAAGTACCCCCATGGAAGAGT